ACTAGAAGGAGGATGTGCAGGTCATCTGGTAATTCGATTATTGGTRTAGTGAGGAACTGTCATCATGTCCCTCAGCAGCTGTGCCATTTGACATCGGCAGTGCCCAAGGTTTCCATTTCTCCATGTTGTCACCCACACCTGCTGTTTTCTGCCGCCGTCCTTATGAGTGGGAGGTGGTGTCCCATTGTGGTTYTGATGTGTTTTCCTGATGACTGGAGGTGTTGAGCCTCTCTCAGTGTGCTTTCTGGCCATGTTTGTCTTCTTTGGAGAAGTATCTCTGCAGGTCCTCTGCCCTCTTCTAGATACACTTCAGTCCTTCATTGCTAAGATACAGAAATGGACTTATTTTTGTATATTGACCTTGTATCCAAGCTAATTTTACTAGTACTAGGAACTTGTTTGTTTTTGGAGATTCTCCAGATTTTCTATGGAGACAGTCATGTCCTCAGAGTAGCTAGACTTATTTCTTCCTTCTCAATTTCTCTGCCTTTTCTCATTGTTGCCAGAGTGCTGGGCCAGCCTGCTCAACCCTTTCCTTGTCTGGGCAGGGAGGGGAGCCGTGGACTTAACATCATCAAGTGTGCCGTTGTTGGTCCTGAGTTTCTTACAGTCCTTCATTAAATGTAAGGGTATTTGTTTTTCCTGCCATGGTAAGAGATTTTATTAGATGGTGTAAATTAGGGCTATTAGGAACACAACCAAAATAATAATCGGTGCTTTAATGGCTATCCACAGTAATAAATGATACATTTCTTGATACCATATCTTGTTAAAAATCAGTCAATGAATGATGTGAGTGTTTTGTAATTATTATAATATTTTTGCTTCCTGTTTTTTTAATATCCATTTTTTAGTTGTAGTTGGACCACAATACCTTTATTTTAATTATTTTTATGTGGTGCTGACGATCGACCCAGGGCCTCGCACATGCTAGGCGAGGGCTCTACCGCTGAGCCACAACCCCAGCCACTGCTTCCTGGTTCTATTTTATCTCATCACACTTTGAAAAAGAAAAGTTTTAAGGTTTTGAACACCTCATGGCTTTCCACCTTGCCCCTGTCAGCCCACCCAGGCTTCTGCTCAGCCAGGGGCAGGAGGGGATTGACATCGGGGTCCCTGTTCTCTAGCCACCCCCTAGACAAGGGCCTCTCATCCACCTTAAAGACCTTCCCAGGAAGATCCTTTTCTTCCCCTCCTGGAAGTCCTTTCTTGTAACCTTGCCCATCCTTTCTTTGTGTGTCTCCTTTCTGGGAAGCGCAGGGCCTGCTGGGAACAGGTCCTGGGCCAGGTTCCCATCTTCCCATTCATGATGCTGGTGAGGTTTGGCTTAGATTCCTCACGTGTGCAAGACTGTGACTGTTTTCAGGAAGCTGTACTAAGATACACTGGGAGCTGTGTTAATAATGCTAAGGTTGTGTTAATAGTKCTGATCCTAAAGAGATTCTGATATACACAAATAAGAGCTTGTTAAACACAAGTGTATTTTCATTAAAGTTGGCTTTTTGTAATCCAGAATTCACTTCTTCTAAATTCCTAATTAAAAATTATCTCTGTCCCTGGGAAATGCTTTCATTCCTTCAGAATGATTCATTCATTGTTATGCACACTCAGTGATAAAAGGAAGGAGTCCTATCTAGTGGGGGAGGGGAGGGAGGTACCTGGTGTTTTTTCACAGCCTTATTTAGAGTCAACTCTGAACACATTGTCTGTTCCAGGGCTTGGGAATTGTCATCTTCATTTCACACATGATTGGACATAGACTRAGACCTTCCCCAAAGCCACTCAACTCAGAATTCTGAGACCTAAGCCAGAGACCAAGCCCGGGTCTCATGGGCTCCGCTGCCAGCACTTTTACATGGGAAACATGCAAAGTGCTGGCAAAGCTGTGGAGGAAAGGCTGGTCTCGGGGCGAGGAGACACAGTGGGCTCCATGTTTTCGACGGGTTGGAGTGTTGTGGGTTCTCCCAGAGCAGCAGTCTCCTGGATGTGAAGCAAGCATCCCATTCATGTAATTTCCAGCTCTCACTGTAGAGTGCGTCGCAGGCAAGGCTCCTCCCTGAGTGTTGAGTTGGCCTTTCTTTCCTGYTTATGGTCATTAACTCACATGCAAACCCAGATGCCCTTGAAAGAAAGGAATGGGAGAATCTTTGCACCCTGGAATATCATGGAGTCCTGTGAATTAAGGTGACTGAGAAAAGTCACCTTTGCTTGTTACCAGGATTCCATAATGAGGCAATGCCCTGAGCCAGACTGCGGGTTCAAACCCAGCGAACCTAGCTTCTGTACCTGCATCAAGCAGGGTCTTAGAACAGGACCTGGTCCATATAATCACTAGGGGGATCAGCTGCCATTGAGCATCACAGAACCCCCTGGTCAGACTGGAAGCTAGGGGTGCTTTGGGTGTTTTAAAAAAAAAAAAACCCAATAAGGAAAGATGATTTTACTTGAATTTATGGAGTGCCCTTTAGGTGGGTCAGCACAAGAAGGAACTGCCCAGTGGTGTCTCAGGGGATCACCTGAGTGAACACAGATGCTCACAGTCCAGGTTCAGCTAAGAAGCCACATCATTCATGGCACAGCAGACCCCAGGGGAGTCTGGACCAGCCTAAGGCAGAAGCTGACCACTGGCAGAGCCCCAGCACCACTGCCAGAGAGGTCTCCTGGTCTCCTATGCCAGGCCGGACCTGCTTCTCCCAGGCTGAGAAGGTTGGGCTGCAGGCTTCTGCAGTRTGGGTCTGCTGGCCTTTCCCAAGCAAATTCTACTAGTTCCTAGATAGTTCCTAGAGATCCGTGGCTTATCTCCTCTGAGTCTTTAGGATCTGGGGCAAGAAACACCTCTAAAAAAAAAAAAAGTCCTGATATTTTCTCTCATTTCTACTCCTCCCCCCGCCCCTCCCTCCCTCTCTCCATCTTGCCCTCTCTTTTTCTCCACAAGCTTGGGAAAGGAAAGGAGGGAAGAAAAAGATAAAAGGTCTCCATACCGCCCACTCCACTTCCCATAATTATCCAGAGTTAGATTCTTTGGCTCTTTCAAGGTGTTTTTATCCAAAGTACATAAATATCTGTGAGCCTTAAAAAAATTCATGTGATTTTACTCTGCTTTGTTTCATGTTTTTAACTTAATATATATTAAGGATCTTTCTGTAGCATCAATATAGCTCTGCCTCTTTCTTTTTTCTTTATTTATGCATTTGATTAGGATTATATATAAAAACATTTTGGTGAGGTATTGAAACTCTGAGCTCTTCTTCGTCTAATACTGTAACTAAAAGTAAATGAATGAAACTTGGCAGAATTACAGGGAGGAATGATCTATCCACAGTCGCAGTGGTGACTTAACTGAGTCTCTCAGAAGCTAATACASGTCAACAGGCCAAAAGAAAGGAGGAATGGCACGGGAGATTGGAACTGCACTGTTAAGGAGTTTGCGTGGAAATATGGGAGCTTGCTGCTCACCAGGTGGGGCACGCATTCTTCACAAGTTCACCTGGGGTTTTCAGAGCACCTGGACAACGAACTCTTGCCAACGGCCATCTCCTTGTAGGTGCCATTTCCAAAATAGTTTTGTCCTTCTCCATTTCTTTCCTGATCTTGCTGGACCCTATTTCTTATCTACTGCTGAGACTTGGTTCCTTTGTTTCTGCTTTGTGGTCATAGCTGTGATTGCTTCGTGAGGACTTTTCCCCCTTATATTTATTTTTAACTGAGATATAATGATTGTGCCTTTTTGTAGAGTACCTTGTGATGTTTTAACCAAATTGGGGTAGTGAGCATATCCGTCACCACAAACATTCATCGGTTCTTTGTGGGGGAATGTTCATAAAACATTTGTACATTTGTTTTGAAATGTACAACAATCCTCCCCCTCTGCCCCCACCTTTCTGTTTAGTCCACGTGCAGCGTTATTGGGTTTAATGTCATCTTGTCTTATGTAACCCTTTCTCTGGTGGGKTTTCCTCCCCTTAGGGAAATGCTTTTTGTCACTTTTCTTACGCTGTCTGCCTGACAGCAGTCACAATCCTCAGGACTGATGTGGTCCTGAGGTGTGTCCTTGCCTGCTTCATCGCTTTTCTCAATAATGCTTAACAACACTAAAGACAGATGGGTGTGATTTACCCCACTGGTTGTCTGACTCTGGGTTTGGGATGGGCCCTGTGCCTGCTGACTCCCAGCTCACCCACACTCAGTCAGTGCCTCCACTGCCTGTCCTCAGTGCACAGTTGTCGGATGAATTCACAGGGARGCTCCAAAAAATAGATGTGCAATTGGATAAATTCTGAAATCCATTTATGAAAGCWTTAGTAGGTTATTACAGAAAGTAAGGAAATGAGCAGTCTGAAGGAGGAAGGTCCTGCCTGCCCATACATTTTTCACCTCTGTCAAAATAATCATTCCTGGGTGCTGGGGGCAGAGAATGCCCTGCAGTGAGGTGTGGAGCCCTGTGCCTCACACTGTGGTGRGGTACAAAATGCCTCTTCCTGTGTCCAGGGAGTTTGGTACGAGGTAGGTTCCCATCAATCTAGCCACTCGGTTTCAAAGGATTTTTCCCATGAGGGTGTGGCACAATCTGTAAGGCTACGTGGATGATAAGAAGACCTTACATAGCCACTGGTGCCGGACTGGTATTCAGGGTTGGGTCCACTGTCACAGGATGCACATGATGCTCCACTGATGTAGCAGAGAAGGTGGGACCGTCTATATTCAGTGTGCATAGAAATGAAAGATAGAAATTTAGCTTCACTGATATTTAATGTTAGGATCAACTCCACAACACCACTCAGCAATGGGGRGCAAACGGCCAGGTGGACATTGAATTTCTGAGGTGTCCTGAGGAGGGACTGGGACTCTAGCTCCCCTATTGATTTGCTTCTAGCAGGTGACTACTTTGCAGTTTCCATGTGCCTGGTGAGGTGAATCTGGACTTTGTCTCTGGTTTAGTTATGTTAGTAAAGATCTCAGTAGTCTCCAGCCAGCTCAGGATGTGGCCTTCACTCTTCCAGGGATGCCCTTCCAGAGGGAGCAGACCAAGGACCTTCAGCGAGTGCTGGGAGCCGTTGACAGGGAGATCCCACTGGTCTTCGTCAGTGGCAACCATGACCTGGGCAATGTCCCCACGGTGGAGACTATTGAAGAGTTCTGCCAGACTTGGGGTGATGACTACTTCAGCTTCTGGGTCGGGGGTGTCCTGTTCCTGGTACTCAACTCCCAGCTCTGGTATGACGCCTCCAGCTGCCCTGCCCTGAAGCAGGCCCAGGACCTGTGGCTGGACCAGCAGCTGAGCCTCGCTGGGCAGCAGAAGTGCCAGCACGCCATCGTCTTCCAGCACATCCCGCTGTTCTTACAGAGCATTGACGAGGACGATGACTACTTCAACCTCACCAGGTCTGTGCGGAAGGAGATAGCAGACAAGTTCACCAAAGCAGGTAGGCCCTAAGGGCTGGAGAGGGCCTGGCAGAGGGGAGAGGGGACAGGGCTGTGGATGAGCCTGGGTTCCCATCCCGGCTCTGCCACTCACTGGCTGTGGCTGTGGTCAGGCTGCAGATTCTCTAGCCTCAGCGCRCTCCCCTGTAAGGAGCAGCAGGCTGTGGAGCGTTCCGGAGGGTCCCTGGCCTGCCAAACAGCAGCACGTGGCAGCTGCTCACAGCTGGAGATGGGGCTCCTGGAGGCAGGATCATGGGGAATGGTATGCCTCAGGAGGTGGAGGAGAGGGCCATCTTCCTTCATTTCTCTGGGAAGCAGAGAACAGGTGGTCCTTAAGAGTCAGGCTCCCACAGTGTAACCCAGGAAGTCCTGAGATGAGGCTTTGGTGAGCAGGCCTAAGGGCCCATCGGTTTGCCTCAGACAAGGGGCATGGCATTCTCTTCCTGAGTCAGGGTAGAGAGAGGCGCGTGGTATAGTCTACCCTGCTGTAGACTCCTAGTCCCTCACACGTGTAGCATGCGTTTGCACACACAAAATGAAGACACCCCATTTTTAAAAATCTTTGTTTTTTAGTTGTAGTTGGACACATTTCTTTATTTATTTATGTGGTGCTGAGGATCGAACACCCCATTTTTGAAGGTGGGACCTCAGCTTCCAAAGGATGGCTTACTTGGTGACTCTAGCCCTGGCCTTATTTCTCCTCCTGGGAGTCCCTCYAGGGCCTTCTCCAGAGGAAGAGCATCAGCCAACTCCCCGAGTTGCCCCAGGGCTTTGGCAGGSTTCCAGCTTTGACAACTGTTGTGAATCTCTCCTTGGCCCTAGTTCCTCCTTTCCAATCTTTCCAAGGCTTACTTGTATCAAATATTCTAAAATGTGAATATCTTCACTTGTTTGTTACGAGAGAGGGAAAGACATTGACCTGACCCAGRAGCAGGCATTCCTTAAAAAAATACCCTGCTACTCTTCATTTCATCTTTGAGTATTAAATGTTTGTACTTATGAAAGATACAAAGCCCTTCTGTGTTTTTGAGACATTTTACAAAAAGYTTCTATAATTGGAGACATTTTCCAACTGTTCCATGGAGATGAAGTTGGAAAGCGTCTATTAAAGACCTTTGAAATGTTACGCCATGCTTGAATTGGTGAAGAAAACTGTTCTGATGCCAAGGAGGCAGTGTCAGGACGGCATCAGCTCTGCCACAGTGACTGTTTTATAACAGAATAAAGCCAGGAAGCCATTTAATGCCACCAAGATGATTTCCTTTCACAGCAAGCGGTGAGCAGTGCAGGCRCCACCCGACTGCTCTGTGTCCCTGTTCTTGACAGCCAGGTCTTGAGCGGCATGTGGTTCTGAGTTTCCCATCCTAGGGCAGAGTGTGTGCTGCCCACAGGCACCCCAATACTGAGTAGACCCTCAGTGCTAACAGAACCCCACTGGCCATCACCAAGAGCCCCAGAGAGGAATGAAATGTCCAGACCACAGTCTTCTGCCCCCTACCCCAGAGCTGGTGTGCGTCGGCAAGGTGAATGCCAGTCACCCCAGCTCACAGAGGCTAATAACCACAACTGCAGTGCTTGTGGGCTAACAAGGGCAGGATGGAGCCCTATCCCCAGCCACATAGCATCCTCTCCTGTAGGGGGCTATGTTGGAAGCCACATCATAATCAGGMGGTGGCTTGGTAGCACTAGATAGCAGAGGTGGTCCTTGGTCCACTCTTCCGAGGCATCAGGCCCTGGCATTTGGATGGTCCTGCATCCAGTAGGGGCCATGAGGGGAGCTCTGACATTCCAAGTCCCTTTAATTCCCCCTCCTTCATCTCTCCAGCCGGGTCACTTCTTCAGGCCATCATGTTCATCTGGTCCCAGCGTCAGCTCTGAACTGGGCTCACTTTTCCACTCATGCATTCACCACCCAGCAGCCACAGGGGTGTACAGCTTCACAGCCTGACTCTATGGGAATCCCTCACCCCAGCACATGGCCCAGCACCTGTCCATGCCCTTCCCAGAGTCCCTGCCTCCCCCAGCCTCTTCCCTGCACTTGGCCAAGCTTACTCAGTKCCTTTGGTGTGACGGCCCCTACCCAGTTCTTCCTCAGCTATCTCAACCCCAGCATCTAATGCCTCCCTGGGCAGTCAGCGCTCCAGGCAGCCTTCTAGCTCAGATGTCCCTTCACCTCTGGGCTTGGGAGGCCAGTTCAGGCAGTCAGTCACAGCCACCTTCCACCAGTGCTTGCAGAGTGAGGAAGGCTCATGCTGGCTCACGTTCCTGCAGCTAGACTGACATGCTCACTTCTTGTGCAGCCCCCGTCCTGGGCTCAGCAAGGCATAGGCAAGCCTGGGCCCCCACAGAGCTCTGGCCCAGCTTCCTGAGGTGTTTTCAGACTCTCAGTCCTGTCCCACGGCCTCCCTGGTCTTGGGGAAGCCTGTGTGCATCTCTCTACCAGCATCCACCCTGGGGTCTTCAAGGGCCACTCAGACATCTATTTTTCCCCCCAAGTGTACCCCTCCCACTTCTCCCCCAGGCACTGCCTTTGGGAATGAGAAGCTGCCTCCTCTTGGCCACTGGCCTTAGAATCTTCCCCTGAACCTGCTGTACAGGAAAAGCCCGAAGTGGGTCCCCTTCCTGCCATCCCCTGCCTGTCTGAATGGCTGGCCAAGCCAGGCCCTTTGCTCAGTGACCTTTAGACACAGAACAAGACTGAGCACCCTGAGCRGAAAGATGCCATTTAGGTGCTGATGCAGGGGCCACAGGCTATGACCTGCTGGGCTGGGAGGCACAAGTGAGCGGGCCCTTGTGGGCACATGCACAAACAGGGCTCAGAATACAGAYATCATCTGGGGAAACAGCAACAGAATTAGAACTCACTGTGGAAAGCCAAAGTTTAGCTGATGTTTTGTAAATTCATTAACTTAAAGACCATGATAGAATCGAGGTGGTGATAGCAGATGGTATTCAGTGTTGCCTTCAGTTGCCCACAGCAATATTATCTCCTAATACCATTTCAGTCTCATTTATCTCCTTGTGCTAAAATGCCAGTGCTCAAAAATATGTCAACCACTCATCAGACTATCAGGGTAGCTTTTAATTATGATAATTGTGTTGTTATAAAATATCCTTTTAAAGAACACATCCCTCCCCAAGCCATCATGGAGGCAGAACCCTGCTTCCTTCCAGCAAGTTTAATGAATAATTCTGAATCATTGTGTGGGATGAATAAATGATTTAATAATGAGCATCAACAATCATCTCCCATTGTTGCATTAATTTTTTAAAATGGGATAGGGTAAATGAAGAGGAAGGGATGTCACTGTACAATGGGCCACCATGTGTGTAGGAATGCACTCTGTGATTCAAAATYCAACAGTTTCCATGCTCAGGTTTCCCTAGAAACAGATGCATCCTGTTTCTACTTTTGAAGCTCAATAAAAAAACCTTTTTTGTGTGATACAAAAACGTTGTCAATAACTGGTACAAATAAACAGATCTCAGGGTAGAGAGATACGCAGATGTGAAGTGGCACCTGTTATTTTCTGTCTTCTTTTGCTCTGCCTGAGGATAATCAATTTCATCACATCCAAGGGATGTAGAAATTGGTTTTCCCCTTAATTCACCTGATACCTAGTTGGAGTTGCAAAGACAGATAGGAGATAATGAAATCCTGGTGGAAACTGGATTCCTCTCCATTCCTCATGTTTCTTGCTGTGGAAGGTTAATATGTGACCCAGTTAATGTGGATTGACATTTAAAAACTCAATCTTAAAAAACAAATGTCCATGAGCCARAAAACAGATGTCCACAGGAATTCATAACTTACAATGGTGATTGTGATTTGATCATTAAACGGGGTGTCAGAAATGCAGAAAGGCAGAGATGCATGACTCTGAGGTCCTCTCTAACTGCATTCTTCAACCTAGTTCTTATGATTCCCCTGATTTAGGCTGCATTTAATTTGGTGACTTGTAGTAACCAGCACCTGATAGTGTTATCAAACTCAATAATTTGTAATAAAAATTTTTCCAATAAAAATAAAATGTCCAGCTCTTTAACTGACAGTATTTCCCCTGATGTCTCAATACTTGTTCTTTTTTTCATTCTCAACATGGAGATTAGAACTGTGTATTAAAGAGTCCGGAGCAAATTTGGGAATTGGGGGTGGGGGGTGGGAGGGATCCCTGTAAGTTGATCTTTCCGACAAAAGTTAATGGGTAGCTTCACTGAATGAGAGTTTCATCTCTAGTATTTATGCTTTTAAAACAAAAATGAGAGAAAGTGAGCTTGATAGAGAGAAATCCTAGCCCATGGTTATGGTTTTAAAATTTCAAAGTTTTAAAGAACATAAAGGTCAGGGTGTGCTTTATAGGAGGAATAAAACATTAACTCCTACTCTAATGTCTCACCAAGTCATATTGAAATTGTTTCTATCCTCTTGGCTCCTCTAGGCAGCAGGTCTCAGCTTTATTCACCTCTGTAAGCCCAGACCTGAGCCAAGACTTTCACATAATAGCACCCCCATAATAAGGAAATATTGGTTGAATAGGGAAGAATTAGGCTTGACTCAAATCTGCTTCAGCAAAACACACGTCATGTCCACATCCTCTATGGCTTAGGGTTTACCAGCTAACCCTCATACGGGAAATGCATCCCTAGGTACAGAGGTTCACATACTTTTCTTGAACAGGATCAGGCAGTAAATATCAGGCCCTGCAGTCTCTGTAGCAGCTACTCAATTCTGCATGTATAATGTGAAAGCAGCCAGAGATAACAGTATATGGCCACATTCCAATAAAACTTTATTTAYAAAAACATGTGTAGGACCTGCATGCTGTAGCACTACAACTCAGGCTTAGAGGAATGTTCCCATTGCAGTGTGGTGCTCTTGCTCCCCTTGAAAGCTTGTGCACACCTATGCACACTGGGAATACAATGTATATGTCTGATCCCAGTAGGCATCTGGTAGCTGCACTGTGGCAATGGCCTGGCTCACTAAAGGGTCTGCCCAACA